TCCCTTCCTATCATTAAGATAAAATTAACAAGAGGTTTCAATTATGAAAAGATGTATGTATGTTCTATATGTATGGTGTGGCCACACGTGTGTATGAAGTGTGTTCCTAAATGTATGACTGTTAACAAAAGAATACTATTGTGTTGTCTTTGAATTGTTTAATTGCTGGGGAAAGGGCAACAGTTGTTAAAGTACAGGTTACGTGGGAGGAGAATTTCTGCTTTTGTTTCCACAGAGGGTGAAGAGCTGTGGATTCATTCCTTCCAGACTGATGTGGTTTGATGGGGCAGGACCCCCTGAAGCGATAGCCCAGGTGATCCGAATATTTGTTTTTATTTAAATTTGGTTGGTTAGAAATGGTAGCGATCATAGCCAATCACTGTTTAAAGGAAAAAAGGAGGGATATGATATAGAAATGATACTTTGTGTTTGAATGGATCCTTATTTGTTGATACTTTGTATTGGAATGGATCTTCATTTATTGATATGAGTTAGGTTTTCTAGATATATAGATATTCTTCAAACACTTCAAAGACCTACAGAATATATGGCATTTAAATGGTTTAGGGTTTTCCTTGACAGTGAGACATAACTGCTCCTGGCACACCAATTACATCTGAGAGGAAGATGGGCATTGAAGAAACTCTATAGTGTTTGCCTTTGACATGGCAAGACCAGCCATATGGGCAAGAAGCTACTCTTGCCTAAACTGTTTGACTGTTGCTTTATAAACTGGACATGCAGGGCCCACATTAAAGTGAAGATGGACAGTCCTAAAGGGTTCCTGCTTCATGGAAGAGTCTGCCAGACATTTTACAGGACACAGAAAAAAGGTGATAGACAAACTGCCAATGCAGGTGGACAGTTTAGAATTTCCTGCTTTGCTGAGAAGTCTGCCAGACACATTGTGGCCTATAGGCTAAAGATGGATGCCCCAATGTTACTTTGGGTGACTGTCTAGGAAGCAAGATGTCTCTGTCAGTTCTAGAGTTTATATAATTATCCTTCTATGGTCTTTGATGGAGTTGAAGATAGATAGTTATAAGAACGCACTAAGATAGAATGGTTGAAATCTTACAGTTCTTACTTGATAACTGTTTTGTTACATATAAAGAAGGGGGAGATGTTGGGACCCAGCCCCCACGGGGCCTCTAAGAGTTGTTTTCCAGCATAACCACAGGTACCTCCTGTTTTCCTGACACACTCCACTAGCATCAATATCCTGTTGTGAACCCTTTCACCTGGGGTTTTTGTAAGTTTGAATATAAGGCTGCTCCACAATAAAGGTAAGAGACATTCTCTCAGAAAATGGACCAGGCATCCTGTCATTCACCAAAATCTCAAGGCTTTCGCCGGATACTCTGACTTAGTTATTGTGCAGGCAGCCACACTGGATGTTGTTTCTTGTGACCCCTTTCTACTCTTGCAGGGAGGACCTGAGTTCGGTCCCCAGCACCCACATGACAGCTCACAAACATCTGTAACTCCAGTTCCAGAGGATCCAACACCATTTCCTCGCCTCTGAGGGCACTGCACTGGACCACTTACATATATGTAGTCAAAACACTCACACACATGGAAATAAAGATATCTTTTAAAAATAATTCCTGGGTTTAAATAATGGATGCAACCAGCTCCCTCATCAGCAACCAGAAGTAGAGGAGGAAGTACTCCAGCAGAGCCGCTGCCAGCTTTGACTGAGGGGAGAGAGACTGGATAAAATGAAGTATGATGACCAGAGGGGACAAAAGAGAGATTCGTAGGTTAACTTGCATTATTGTTTGGGGCAAGGGAAGATGGACCATGAAGATGATTGAGAGATCAACAGGGGTGAAGGCAAGGCTGTCTTCCCAATTGCTGGGACACAGTTTTTGCAGGGAAAAGCGGGGAGTCCTCCAGCCTGTTGGATTCAAAATTCACAACTGCCAGCCCAGTGGGCCAAAGGCCAGAATATTGAGCTAAAAAGGACAGTTTCTGGGGCCTTAAATGGAGCCAGGCATGGTGGAGTGTACCTGTCATCCCAGCACCTGGGGGGCTGAGACGGGAGGATCAGGAGTTATAGGCTAGTCCGGGCTGCATTGTGAATTCTAAGCCAGTTAGACTACATAAGGAAATCCTGTCTAAAAAATATCAATGAATCTGGGCGGGGTGGCAGATGCCTGTAATTCCAGTCTTTGAGAAGTGAAACAAGTTTGAGGCCACCTTGAGGTACATAGTGAAATCTCGTCTCAAGAATCAAACAAATGGGGCAGCTGGAGAATGGCTTAATAGTTAAGAGCACCTGCTGCTCTTGCAGAGCCCTGAGTTACCAGCATCCACATCAGACAGCTCACAATTATTTGTAATTCCATCTCCAGGGTATGCAATGCCCTCTTCTGGCCTCCGTGAATACCTGCACCCACATGCACATACACATATGTACACACACACACACACACACACACACACACACACACACACACACTCTTCTGTTTTTTGTGGTGAGATAACAACGCCACAGATGAGGGTGGGGTGGATATCACACTATAATTTTTGTTTTTTTTTTTTTTTTTCTTTTGAGATAGGGTCTCACTATGTAGTCCTGATTTCCTGGAACTAACAGTGTAGACCAGGCTGGCTTCAAACTCACAGTGATCCATCTGCCTGTGCCTCCTGCGTGCTGGGATAAAAGGCGTGTGCCATCATGTCCAGCAATAAATCTTTTTAAAACAATCAAACAAAGAAAAAAAAAAAACACTACTGGAAGTTGCCTCCCCAGGTGTGACTGGCATTCCATCAGCCTCCTGACTTTCCCTCTGGGAATGGATATGACTATCTCACACCTGTCCTGCCATTTCAATGTAGAAGCATGTGACTTCATCTGGCTTCCAAGGTCCGCTGATGAAGAGTAATTTTGCCTCGGCATGAGTCATGTTCTAAGTCACGCCCACACCTGATTGAGATGATATTTAGACAGAACTTTGGACTGAGCGCATGCTGCAGTGAGACACAAGTGAGACACTTGTGTCTGAGGAGAACATGAGTTTGGGGGAGTAGTGGCAAGAGTGTATAACACCCCAAACTGGCAACAACTCAAAAACCCACTGAGAGGACAACCATGGAGAAACAAGAACAAGTATAGTCAAGACTGGAATGCTACCTAGGAGTAAAAAAGAAATGAAGGATGTGGGAAACCATGTGGCAGATTCCAAAAAGGTGCTAAGCAAAGACAGTGTCAGAGGCAGATGGGTAGCTAGCTGTCCAGATCTGGGGGGTGGGGACTGAAATGCCAAGTGGCCCGAGAGAACCTCGGCGACTTGTGGAGATGTTTCACACCCCCGTTGTAGGGGTGGTTACATGCACACAACCGTGGAGTTTTTTTGTTCTATGAGTATGCAAATTTTAACCCAAAAGTGCTGATTTAAACAGAAAACATGAACCCAACCAGAAAACAATTAAAAATGGCACTGCCAGTTACAATCCTGTCAGACAGGCCTTAAGGAAAACTAGGTACAAGCAAGATGGCCGCACATGCCTGTCGACTCAAACTCACGTGGAGGAGGAAACTGACTCCATAACATTGTCCTCTGACCTCTGTGTATACATCCCCCACATCATGCACATCCCCAACACGCACAAACACACTAACAAATAAATATTTAAGACGGTGACTAGTGAAAATACAGAACATAAAAGTACACGGAATTAAAAACAACCAACAACAAAACCCAAATCATTTGTAGAACAGCAAACAAACAAACTATATATGCATTCACAGGTTTTGGTGTGCACCGTAGCTGAAACAAAGCCTTAGAATGACCTCAGGTTAGATTAAGATATTTTGATAATAGCTTTGAGGTTAGGAATCAAAAAGCAAAGCAGCCCAATTATTACTAGATGACGGACTTTCCTTTGGAGGGTTGACGGGTGATCAAAGATGAAGATTAATTCCTTGTATCCAATCCTTCCCTCAATAACCTGATAGAAAGAACCATTCGATGAGTGGGGCACGTACCCTGAAGATTTAGAGTAGAACTGGCCATTTTAAAAGTGTAGTTTACGATTCCTTTAAGAGTCCGTCTAAGATTACCTTTCAAGGTAAATAATAAAATGATTGCCTCTTTCTTTGTAACCACAAAATTGCCAGTAAAAGAACTGGCTCAGAAAAATACTTTGCTTGCTTATACTTTGTTAATCTACAACAGGTTGCTTGGGTGTTAATGAACGTGGGGTTCTTGGGGGATAATTTGCTTTCACCTGTAATCTGTGACTGTAATACGTGAAATGTTTAATCATATAAGAGAAATGAAAAACATGTTTCTTGCATTCAATGTAACCATTCACTTGACATATAGAATGTAACCACATTATAATTTCTATATTGCCTGAAAGATTTTGTTGGAGTATTTAAGCTGTAGAGGAAAAATAATCAGAATAAAGAAGGAAGAATAAAGAAGGAAACCATCAAGAGAGTGTGTGGATGTCTTTTCCCTTACCCCATCAGATAAAAAGGTCATAGTATACTGACTCCATGGATTCCCTTTGAGCCCTGAGCTTCTGGAGGCTGGTCCCCCAGGCAGCAAAAGAAGAAGTCATCTCTCAGCTTCCTGCTCTTGCTGCCCTGCTTCCTCTACCACCATGGACTTCTCCTCTGGAACCCTAAGCTGAAATAAGCTTTCTTCCATATGTTGCCTTGGCTGTGGTGTTTTATCACAGCAACAGAAAAAGTGAACAATACAAACCCCAAGGACTTTTGTCCTCTGGTGTCTTGGCCCTCACAGTTCCACTCAAGCCCACTCCAATTTTACACAAAGACTCACCCAGATCTCCAGCAAGCCTATCATCTGCCATTCTCCCAGATTATCTTTTCTACTGTCTGTAACCTCTAGCAAGAGCATCTTCCAGAGACCCAGAGAACTTCTGAATGCCGACACATGGAATGCAGAGAGCCCAGGGGAACCCTTCCAGCCCTCACCCACTCCTCCATCTCCCCAACCACCAGCATGGAGGCACCCCTATACCTTTTGTGGGACACGAAATAGGTCACATTCGGGGGGCTATCAAGCCCTGGAAGCCATGTCAGGTACACTGTAAAGTTCTGGGAGAGCAGTGTCACGTTTCTGGGTGGGGCTGGACAGGACCATCCTGTGGGAGAGAAAGAGGTCATGAAGACTGGAGCTCTTGGTCAAGCTTGGCACAGGTACCCATAGCTAGAGAATGAGATGTATGACATGCATTCAGTTCCTTGCCACCTGTGAGGGCCAGCATCTGCCAGCTGCTACATTGCAGCCCTTCCCCTCCCCAGCCCTCAGTGTCCCTTCTGTGCCAAGAGAGCCAGCTCTGTGTACTCTGGCACCTGAGGGTGGGTTCCACCTGGTTGCCATGGGACAGGAGCCAATGAGTGGCCTCAAACCCCTCCTGGACTCCACAAGAGTCTTGGTGCAAGCATTGTTTTTGTTGTTAACTTTTTAAACTTTTGATTTATTATTAGTATATGTGTGTGTGCATATAAGTGTGTGTTTGTGCATGTGTGACATGTATGGGTGAGTATGGGTGTGTGCATACTATGGCACACGTGTAGAAGTCAGAGGATAAATTTGGGGAGTTGGTTCTCTCCTCCCATTATGGGTCTTGAGGACTAAATTCAGGTCATCAGGTTTGGACGATATCACCCACCAAATCTTCTCTGTTGTGTTCTCCCTGTGACTGCAGTGCTTATCTGGGATGGCTCCTGAGACACACTGCATATATGATACATGTGTGTTGGGTAAATTATCCCCCAAGAACCCACGTTCATTAACACCCAAGCAACCTGTTGTAGATTAACAAAGTGTAAACAAGCAAAGTATTTTTCTGAGCCAGTTCTTTTACTGGCATTTTTGTGGTTACAAAGAAAGAGGCAATCATTTTATTATTTACCTTGAAAGGTAATCTTAGAAGGACTCTTAAAGGGCCCCTGATGATGGAACAGGATGGATACAGTGATGCTTGCTGCCTAGGTCGTGAAAACAGCTGTCATCCCAAGGAACACAGCCAGAATTGACCCTACTCAAACTTCCACCTTCCCACCTCACTTCCCATGGCTTGCTTATTTAAATGGACCATTCCAGCATCTGCCCATGAACGCAAAGTGGTCCCCAGACCATTCCCTTATACAGACTATAAGTTGCTTCCCCCTTTCTGTTTGATCTGTTGTACACCTGCTTCACCTGACCCAGAGAGAGGGAGGGGACAACCCTCCTGCCTTGTCACACTCTCCAGGCCCAGGATCCTTGGTCTTGTTTCCACCTGTAGTTATGCACTGAATTTGCACTTTTTATTGAAGAACTAGTCTGGGCTCTCCCTAGGGTACCATAGACAACACAGGGCCAGCGCTCATTGACAAGGCCATTGTCAGCTGGGTCTAAAGTGGGCACCAGTCAGATGAGAACCACAGGAGATTTGCCCGCATAAACGGATTCCTACTATGAGGGGTACCTGGGTTGTTGCCTGAACAACTGGGTCCTAGACACTCTGCCAGGTACAAAAAGTGTCCTGTGTGTTCTGGTTTCATGTTTTGAATATTTGGTCCCCAGCTCTTAGTGCCATTTTGAAAGCTGTGGAGCCCATGGGAGGTAGAACCTGGCTGGTGGAGTAGGTAACTGGGAGTGGGCCTTTGAGCAACATACCCAGCCCATGTTCTGTTCATTCTTTCTGCTTTGGGTCCAGTCTACGTCAATGGCCCGCTACACGCTCCGGCTGCCACAGGTTAGAGCCGCTCTGCCATGCTTTCCTCGACACAATGGCTGTAGACGCTCTGAAACCCTGAGCCCAACACATCCTTCCCCCTTTAAGTGGCTTCTATCATGTGTTTTGTTACACCAATGCACAGGGAACTTATTCACCAAGAAAGCCACATTAAAAACACCGTAGCCAGCTCCCTTGCAATGTCTGTGACATCCCTCCTACTGGGATCCTCGGTTATCGGTGTCCCCTTCAGTCTATCCTCTGCACAAACGCAAGGTTTACAATGAAAGTTACACCATGCCTGCTTCCTGCTTAACCCTTTCAAGGTTCCCATCTACCCTACTCCAAGGAAACTCCAAAGCCTTTGCTGGAACCTCCAAGGGGCCCCCAGGATGATCTGTACCTCTCTCTCCTCGTTCCCCCTCCTCTCCAGCCATGCTGGCTGGTGACTTTTCCCAGAGTACACTGGCTTGATCCCTGCTCTGAGCCTTTGCACATGGTGTTCCCAACATCTAGATACCCCCCTGGCTTCTGTCACATTCCCTTGATGGAGTTGTCTCTCTGTGACATGTCCCTGGCCACCTTTGACTGGCCTCTTATCTACCTGGTCTTTCACAGATAACTAGTTACACTAATTACCTTCAGCTGATTGCTCCATACCAGGGCATCCTGCCCTTCCTCTGCCTAGAACAAAGTTCATAACCCTCATCCGGGTGTCCAGGAACTTGTCTAGGTGGCCTGGTCATTTGGCTGAAGTCTCTGGCAGATTCCCATAGTCCCCCAAAGCCCACAGGTCCCATCATTTAGATATCTTTGAACCTTGGTGTCTCGGGTTACCTGGAGTTCACCATCTCATCTCCAAAAGATTCTATCCAAATGTCACTTCCTCCATGTGGCCTGACTTGACACCTCTAGGAGGAGCCAGTGATGATGACAACAGAGTAACAATAGCCCTTTTTGTATTGGGTTGTAGCTTCCAGTTAGCTCGGCTGAACACTTTGAGGGTGTTAGGAGCTTTGCACACAGGTGGGGAAACCAAAGCCCTCTCAGATACTCCAGTCTAGATCAAGGCAACTCTCAGGCTTATTTCCTCTTTCAGTATATCCTGGTCTCAGTCTACGCTGTGTGTGTGTGTGTGTGTGTGTGTGTGTGTGTGTGTGTGTGTGTGTGTGATTAAAAAGAGAAATCTTAATTTAAAGCCTAGGCTATCTCAAATCTTCGTCGATCCTCTTGACTCAGCACCTAGGGTGCTAGGATTACAGGCATGAGCAACCACACCTGCTGACCACTGTAACCCACGGTTCCTACATTCCTCAGTGTGTCAGAGAACAGAAGAAACAGCTCTATCTCCTGCCCCAGGGGAGTTCTTGGTCCCAGGGAGAATTCAGTCACATGGGTCACCATGGAGATCAATATATTTATTTTAGGCACAGGCAAGGTAATCTCAGCTCTACATGCTGTCTCTCTGGCTCAGCCCCAAGCTTCACTGCCTCCTCATCTCAGGTATTTCAGACCCAGATGTGGGTTCCTAGCTCTAATTCTGTCCTACACCCAGAAGCTGCATCACTGAGACACTGCCACAGTTTTTTTTTTTTTTGAGTTTCAATTAGCTTATATATATTTATATATTTATATTTATATTTAAAGAGCAATAATGGCAATATGTTATACATCAATAGCAGCAACAGCTTTTCCAGGTTCTGCAGTCATTTGAACAAAATTGTAGAGACATCCAGCACACTCCATTAAAAACAAACAAACAAACAACAACAACAACAAAGTAAAAAATAAAATCCCAGAAAACAGCACTGTTCTGTTACTTTTGTGGTACTTGGCACCATTTTTTTAAAAATTAGCTTCTCAATCATCATCTGGAAGGAAACCATTCTGAGCAACATCATTAAAAACAGCTCTGATAAAGCACGGTCACTACTATGTATCATAAAGCAGGTCCACATATGAGTGAGTACATATCATGTTTGTCTTTTTGTGATTGGGTTACCTTGCTCAGAATGGTTTCTTCGAGTTCCATCCATTTTCCTGCAAATTTCAAGATTCCATTGTTTTTTTCTGCTGAGTTGTACTCCATTGTGTAAATGCACCACATTTTCTCTATCCATTCTTCGGTTGAGGACTGCCACAGTTTTTAAACTTAGTGCCTGGTCTGCCAGGCAGGCACCCAGCAGCAGGTCAGTCTGTGCATAACCCCCTTAGTTTTAACCCATTCATAAGCAGGACAGCCCCTAAGTTTGAGCTTGGCCACCCCTCAGGGTGTCAACTTCACACCCTTCGTGAAAGAGGCACTGGGCTCAGAGTCAAAGTTTGTGTTGGGGATAGAATATGCGAATATGCCTGACCTCCAAGACCCTCATTAATTAAAAAACACTGCCACAGAACTGTGAGGGTGCCCAGGGCATGGATAGCCTGGGCGAATCCAAGGCTCAGGCTAGCTCTTCTCCCGTCAGCTTCGCCTCTCTGTCCTGCGTGTCCCTCTCTGGGGTACTTCTAAGGCAACCTCTTAAGTGCTCTGAGACTCAGTTTCCCTCATCTGACAATGATGACTCAGCCACCTCATAGGACAACTGGGCTGCTAAGAACAGTGCACAGCACAAAGAAGCGACTAAAAATAATATGGACTTTTGATTGTTTACTTAGTCTTAGAACCCTTCCAGCCCTTTCTACTGTGAGTCTAAGACTCTGAGGTACACCCGTGGCTTCCAAGAAGCGCTCTCCTCCCCGGGGCAGCTGATCAGTGCAAACTTGGGGTTCTGTGCTTGGGTCCTAGCCTCGGGTAATTTGTGCTGTGCCATCATATTTACGAGCTGAGGGACCAAGAGAGAAAACTCCCTGTTAAGAGTGTCAAAGCAGGGACTAGATCATCCAGAGCAGGGTCCCCGGGGAGCCTGGCTGGGGCATCCGATCCGCAGCCTGAGGAAGAGGAGGGCAGCTCCCTATGTCCTCCTACTTAAGAGTCAATCTGGTACGAGCTCTGGGATTCGGTGAACAAATAACAAGAACGCTTTCAGATGTCTCCGGAAACCCAGCTCCTTTCTTCCCGGAAAGGACGTCCAAGCTCAGGATTGCTTCAGTCTGGGCTAAGCAAACCCGC